AAAAAAAAAAAAAAAAAAAAAAAAAAAAAAAAAAAAAAAGAAAAGTAGAAGTCTTTTAAATGCCATTAACTATTCTATCCTAGCTGTATCAGTTTACATTAAACTGTTAGATGAATGTACATTTACCTCCACAAGTCCCTCCTAGTTATTAGAAGCTTTTTACTAATAGTAATAGTCAGGGGAAGTTGCTAGATGCCGTCAGCATAATGTCATCAATGTAACAAATGAGTGCAGTATCTTGAAGAGAAGAGATCAAGATTAAACTAAGTTCTCTTGATCCAACCTCCCCACCCAGCCAGATCCTACCTATCCTTCTCCAGAGTCTATCCCAATGGGTATGCCTGACTGTACCCTCCATGTACCCTCCCTGAATCTCCTGATCTAGCCCTGGCCCCACATCCAGGGCTCCTGCCTATCCTGGCCACCCCTTCCTGCACTGCAACCAACCTCTAGGGTTCCTACAGAACTCACCCTGCCTGGCCCTGATCCACAGGATCTTTCCACACCAAGTTCAACTCTTTAACCCAGGCAGATCTACCCCGACCCCCAGGCTTTGATCAGGATGATGCACATCCTGCACACCAGCCCAGTCTTCTTTGTTAATCTGACGTCATCCCATTTAAGCCATTTCCAGCCTCTAGGCCCAAACAACTCACACATCCTCTCTTCTGTCCCATCCTGCTCTATGTCAGACAGAATTAACAAAACCTTACCAGGAAACACAGTATGAAATATAAAACTAGTGTCTCCCCTCTAAAACCTATCAGTCCTGTGGAGATGTTTCTCATTAAGAATTACCTAGATGAATTCCAGGAAACAGAATTTGAAAAAAACAATCCATAGACTTCATCAAAGAATTCAGGGGCAATGGTGGCCCAGAGCTTGTAGGTGTGGACTACCAATGACTGGTTTAACTTGAGTCACAAGCCACAAGAGGGAGCCCATGTCTGACACTGCCTGGATGGCCAGGAATGGGAAGCCTGATGGCTCAGAAACCTAGGGTAAAACCAAACAAGACTAGCATTTAAAAAAAAGTTAATGACATGATTCCTAATAATATTCTACTATACTCATAGATCTCTGCCTAGTCCAATTTATCATCAGAGAGGTTTCACCCAGCAACTGATGGAAACAGATGTAGAGACCCACAGCCAAACATTAGGTGGAGTTCAGGGCACCTCACAGAAGAGGGGAAGGAAGGATTGTAGGAGCCAGAGGGGTCAAGGACACCACAAGAATACAGCCCACAAAATAAACGAATAAACTAACCAGGGTTCATAGGGGCTCACAGAGACTGAAGTGACAATTGAGGAGCCTGTATGGGTCTGAGCTAGGTCCTCTGGATATATGCTATGGTTGTGTAGCTTGGTGTTCTTGTGGGACTCCTAACAGTGGGAGCAGGGGCTGTCTCTGACTCTTTTCGTCTGCTTTTGGGACCCTTTTAATCCTACTGAGTTACCTTGTCCAGCCTTGCTATGAGGGTTTGTGCCTTGTTTTATTGCATCTTGTTAAGCCATATCAGGTTAATATCATTGGAAGGAGGCTTACTCTTTTGTGAAGGGAAACAGAAGAGCAGTGGACTGGGGAAGAGGGGAGGTGTTGGGGGAACTGAGAGGAGTAGAGGAAGGGGAGGCTGTGGTCACTATGTGTTGTACGAGAGAAAAAATAAAAAGAGAACAGGGATAAAAGTAATCAGGGAATTTAAAGAAGACACAAAGAAACAGCTCAAACTAAGGAGAAAGAACTTAAGGAGAATAAATGCCTGAGAGATGCACAAACATAAGGCTCATGGAAATGACTAAGATAATCCAGGACTTGTGTGCTGGCTGGTTTTATGTCAGCTTGACACAAACTAAAATCATCTGAGAGGAAGGAACCTCAACTAAGAGAATGCCTCCATAAGATCACTCTGTAAGCAAGCCTGTACAGCATTTTCCTAATTAGTGATTGATAGGGGAGAGCAGAGCCCACTGAGGGGGGGGTGCCATCCATGGGCTGCTGGTCCTGGGCTCTATAAGAAAGCAGATTTTTTTATTACATTAATATATTCTGATTACAGTTTCCCCTCCCTTTACCCCTCCCAGTTCCTTCCCACCTCCTCTCCCATCTGGATCCACCCCTGGACAAAACAAACAAAATACATATGCAAAGGACCTGTAGGATATATGGATATATATATATATATATATATATATATATATATATATATATATATATATAATTGAAAAATAAAAGGAAAAGCCCTGACACAATACTATGAGATAAGAAACCTCCAAAAATGTGGAGTTCATTTTCTGTTGGCCATTTCTGTTGGCCATCTACTACTGTGTGCAGCTTACCCTTAAGAATAGTTTGTTTACCCAGTGACACTCCCTTGGAAGAAGCTAAATTCCAGGTGGTCATCAATTGGATTGCTTAGAGTTAAGGGTAGAGATATGTGTCCACTTCTCCTTTCTACTCTAGGGCCCCATTTGGTACAGATCCATGCAGGCCCCGTTTATGATGCTTAAATCTCTGTGAGTTCATGTATGTGCTGATCTTGCTGATTTAGAGGTCTTTGTTTCCTTGGTATCCTTCATATCCTCTGGCTCTTACATTTTTTCTGCCTCCTCTTCTGAGGGGAGGTATTTGACGGAAAGATATCCTATATAGGAATGAGTGCCCTCGCTCTCTGCATAATGTCTGGCTGTGGGTCACTGTATTCGTTCCCATCTGCTACAGGAGGAAGCTTCACTGATGATGGCTGAGCAAGGCACTGATGTATGAGTATAACAGAATGTCATTAGGAGTCATTTTATTGCTATGTTCTTTTAGTAGTACAGTAGTATTTGAGTTTCCCTTAGATCCCCGAGCTGTCTAGCCTCAGAAGACCAAATCTTTGAATTATAGGCATAGGTAAGGGAGAAGAATCCCAAGTCAATGACAGAGCAGATCTTCAAATGACTATAGAAGAAAACTTTCCCAAACTAAGAAAATACATAATTATATATGCACAAGAAGTGCACAGAATACCAAATGGATAAGATCAGAAAAGAAAATCCTCATGGAATATTATAGTTAAAACACTAAGTATACACAAAAAAGAATGTTCTTGAAAGCTGCAAGAGAAACCACAGAAGTCACATATAAAGGAAAAAAGCCACAAAATAACTGCTGATTTCTCAATGAGAACTTTGAAATCCATTGCAAATCCTAAAAGACAATGAAGGCTAATGTAGACTAACATACCCAGCAAACCTATCTACCACAGCTTAAGGAAAAAGAAGTCTTTCCAGGGTACAAACAACCTAAAATTTGTATAGCAATAAACCAAACCCAAATAGGATACAGGAAGAAATATTTCTGACTGAAGAGAAGAATAAAGATAGTCAAGAGACTATAGAAAGTAAAATGAAGCTTATAATTACTGAAATCCAAAGTACCACTGAGAACACAAACACCACCAAAAATCAGCAACATGCTAACAACAATCAACACATACTCATTAATAAATTTAAGTATTAATGGCCTCAGTTCTCCAATCAAAAGATACACACTGCTTGAAT